CTAAGAACTCTAGATCTGGATTTTCATCTTCCACTAGCCCCGACGGGGCAGAGAGCAAAGAATCAACATCTGACAAATACTTTTCAGACTTATAGGCACTCACTATACTATTAACCTCATGAACAATCCTCTGCAAGCGAGTATACGCCTCCAGCGGAGTCAATCTCAATTCAACAATCAACCTATCAATCTTATTCAAAACCAGACACGGGGTAAGCTTCTCAATCCACGCCTGACGCAGAACTGCATGGGTCTGAATGTGAACACCTTCTACAGCATCTACTAATACCAATGCACCATCACTCAAACGGGCTGCAGTTGAAACTTCACTACAGAAGTCCATATGACCAGGAGAATCTATAAGATTAATCGAATGTTCCTTATATTTAAGACCTATAGAAGAACTCTTCATAGTTATCGCCCTCCTCTGTTCCTCATCTAAATAATCCATAAACCTAAGCTTACCCGCTTGCTTCGGATGGAGTACACCACCACCAGATGAAGCAATCAGATGGTCAGCCAATGTTGTCTTCCCATGATCCACATGAGCAAGAATACATATGTTCCGAATCTTCTCACCATCAGAATCCCCCATTTTTTTTATCTCTTCAACTAATAAAAACACTTCTACCGATCACACCACTCTTCCCTTTACACAGCAAAGTAATTAAACAAACTTCTCAATAACCTACTTACAAAATTTCCAAGAAACCAAAAAAAGCTATGCACCCAAATATAAATTACTCTGCACCGACCGTTTATCAGAAATACTATTTCAGTTTAAATAAGCTAAAGTTCCTGACTTTTTTCACACACGAGAGAAACCCAGTTGGGAAAAAATCGAAACTTTGAAGAAAAGGGATTAAAATTTCAATTGGGTTGATTGTAATAGCAACCCACCGTCGCAATAATTGAAATTTAAACGAATTAAGCAAGAATTGAACTCACCGAGACAAACCCAGTTGGGAAAAAGCAACAATTTGAAGAAAAAGGGATTGGATTTCTGTCAGGTTCTTTTCTATGAAGGATTGGAGAAAGTCGAGAAAGAATGGTTATGGGGTTAGAGATAATATTGCTATGATTATCCTGTGTAGCTCCAACAAACATGACTAATTGCAAAAATGTATTTGTAAATCGAGGGAAGAAGTTGAAAATCTCTATAATTTTAAAGGGATTGTGGAGACGACGGCTATGGTAAAAATGGAGGAAAATTAGGGTTTCAACTTTCAAAGACAAACTAGAATAAAATAGGGAAAAATGTTTCAAAAATACTTCAACTTTGGTCTGCTGTTACGATATCAAGCTTTATGAAAGACCTTTTACCCCAGCACTATTTAATAGTGTATTTTAAAGGTCAAAATACATTATTAAATAGTACAGAGGTAAAATGTCATTTTCAAAGTTTGGTATCGTAACAGCAATTTCGATCAAAGTTAGAGTATTTTTCAGACTTTTTTCCTTAGTTCCCAACTTTTTTTTTATTTAAAGAAGAATAATAGACTTTAAAACATTGTAACTATCAAAAACCACTAAACACGTGATAAAAATCGATTAAAATTTGATTTATTGGTTATCGAGTTGTAGATATGCTAAATCGTTATAAAATTATTAAGATATTTATTTACCAATTATATTGATTGTTATCGATTTAACTATTAAGATTTGACACAAAATAAATAATTGAAAATTACTTAGAAATAAGAAACAAGGTGACAAACCAAATCAACCCTACATTATTTTGCTCAAAAGCAAACAGTAAGACATTGTAGAATAATAGAGAGTATGAGATAGTCAAATATAAAAGTATGAAACTAAACTCTAAGTCAAGAAATATATATCAAATGGTATAAATATAATTATTTAATTTACTATGGAATTATTGGTTAACCCGTTAAGAACCGATAATTTGACAATAAAATAAATTAAAAATGTAACCGAAACTACTAAATCAATAACCCATTAGATAAATCAATAATATTTTTTCGGTTCAATTTATCAAGTTTAAACAGTCCTAAGATCGATCGATAAATGATCGTTCTTTGATCAATTTATTTAAAAAATTTAATCAACACACTCTTTTTTATCAAATAAACTAAACAAGCTTAACTAATTTCTCGAAATAGTTATTTATTTTTTAATAAAATCAACCAAGCACGATCGATATAAAATTATTAGTTCTATATTTGTATTTGACAATTCAACCTATCATACAACACAAGTGACAGCTACAATAAAGTTGAAACCACGCAATATTATAAATAGTTTACCACTTTACCTGTCTTTAGATCATCTAGTTGATGGTTGTTAGATCGTAGAAGGTGATATTGTTGAACAGGGTGGCTCAGAGGTAAGGCTGACAAAATGTTACTTAGGCTCCCAAAGTGTTATTTTTGTGTGTTTTTTTAGTAAAATCGAAACAAAATCAAATAGTATTTGGTTTTCAAAGTTTAAAAACAAATATAAACAAACCAAACCAATTACCAATCCTGATTTCAATTTTTTAAAATAAGTTTGGTTCGGGTTGCGACTCGGTTTGGTTTTTAAATCATAACTATAAACAACCCTAGATATATGTATCAAAGATATATACTAGATACATGTATTTTTGAAATATAGATACTACATAAGGAGAGAGGAGAGGGGAGGCCAAGAGAGGTCACGAGCGGGAGAGTCAGTGTGTCTCAAATACATGCGATCACACTAGACACGTTTATTTTATTATACCAGATACATTCTGAAATACAAATACATAGTGAGAGAGGCGAGTGAGAAAGGTGAGAGGCAAAAGAGTTAGTGTATCCCAGTATATGTGAATCACGCTTGAATATACTATATTTGGAGCAAATTACATCTAATTTGGCTCGCATAATCTGATATACATGTATCTAAGTGTGTATGATAAATATATATAGTAAAGTAAATATGGTATAAAAAATATTTTCAAAAATTAAAGTAAAGACACATAATAAGGTCATGAACTAGTGAATTTGTATTGTTTTCTTTTTTAAAGGAATAAACTTTAAAATGGATGGTAACTACCAAAAACTACTACTAAACACGCAACAAAAAATGATTGAAAAAAACTTATTGATTTTCGAGCCGATTGAAAAATGATATTTTATTAAATAGAAACCATTAATCATTACAATAATCACTCCCATCAAAATACGAAGAGTCAACCGAGTTCATCATCTAAACGCACTATATATATTAGTAATATTTTATTGAACGGAATTTAAATAAATATTTTACTCACACTTGACTCTGCCATGTTGGATAGACATGTTATAGTACTCGTGATATTTGTGCTTCTCTTTGCACTCATCTTTTATTGAATTAGCATCTACATTGCTTAGACTCTTAAAATTATTGATGGCTCGTGTCAGATTTTTCAAATATAATGTATTTTTCAGAGAATTCAAAATGGCAATAGGACATTTTTTTCATGCTTTTTTTGGGCTATAGTTATGTCCACAACTTGTCAAACAACAATTTTATACTGCTAGCTTGTTGTCTCCAAGCTCAGAAATCTTTGAACACAAAGGTCATATTTCAGATCAATCATATGAATCTTCATAATTCATTTTGCTTTAACTTAGATTAGTCTTATTCCAAATAAGAGTGAGTATATATCGAGTTATCATACTAAAATCAAAATTTTCAATACTTAAGTGTTGATATTTTTGTATTTGATGTGCATTTTAATTAAGTTTGGGTATTCAGTATTGGCCTAAAATGTAATATTGTACCTCATCATCTCGAAATCATAAATACGCCTCTAAATTTACTCAAACACATGTGTTGTTTTTCGAAAACACTAGATATATTTTTCATTCATTTTAAGCAAGAAAGAATTTTAAAACTTCTCTTTATTTTCTACTGGACTAGTGTGAGTATACCAAATATAGACTATAGTCTATAGGAATTTTGAATTGACATTTTCTCCAGTAACTCTTTTAGTTATGGAATCACTTTTTCTTTTGTCCTCTTTCTTTTTATTCTGATAAGTTTTGTCTCATCAAATATTCTCAAACACGTGGGAATTTGAATGGTATTTAGTAGGATAAAAATAATAATTTTGAAATAAAATTAATATTAACTTTATTTTATATTTATTCCAATACTTTTCATATACAATAATTACATTAACAAAATTTATTAATAAAATATTTTTATTTATCCTATCGTACATGAAAACGTCATTTATTGTTCAAGATACCTAGATTTAACTTAGGAACAACTTTAGTTTTGCTGATGTAAAATGGTATCTGACACATTGTAATCAATTCGACATAGTTGATGTGATTTTTCGATATAAATTTAAATTGTCACAAATTACTAAATAAAAATTAATTAAATTTACTTTTGAAAAGAATAATATAATAACTAATAAAAGACGGAGAGAGAAATAATCAAATGAAAAAAGCTTCTATTTATACAAAATAAGATCACATACGTTTTGAATCTCTCTCAATTTCATATAAAATGTTGTATAAATTATATATAAACTATATAATTATAAATCTTTAATAGCAAAAAAAAATCATTTCTCGTACATAATATTTGCTCTTCCTTTTACGAGAGGATTTATCGAAAATAATTTCTAATTTATCGTATAATTTATTTTTCTCGATCTCACTTGCGGAATTAATGTGTAATTAAATATTGTACCTGAACTTGATGACTTGAATTGGAACTATAACTGCACTGAGATTTTCAGTTTCAGTTGAATTATGCCTTATTTGATTTTCAGCTGACGATACTGACTTTTTTTTTTCTCATCAATCCTTGAATTAGTTGCTATTTCCATAACAGGCCGTTTCCGGTGAACCTCCGTCATGATCATCGCCGTCGTCGGAATAATCCTTGTTGTTATTCCGTTTGAGCTCCTACCAAATCCAGATCTCCGTTTCGAATTCGGCAGTTTCCGATGATCCTCGCCGTCGCCGGTTACATCGGAACAATCCTTATCGACGTGGATATAGTAATCACCGGGAGAATCATTGATGTTGTTGTTGTTCTTCTAATTCCTTTTGAGATGAACTCCTTCCAAATCCAGCGCCATCGTAAAATCGGTGCCACATCTCCGTTTCAAATTCGGCCGTTTCCGATGATCCTCTGTTTACGTTACCGCCGCCATCGAAATAATCCTTATCATCATCGGTATAGTAAACACCAGGAGAATTATTGATGTTGTTTTTCTTCTTCAAAGCCTTCTTCCGCTTCTTATTCCTCCATGCTTTCCGGCAAAGTCCCGTCGGAACTTTGTACAGAGCAAGTAGGAGAAAGTGCAGCACTGTGCACGGACAACAACAACATACCATCGCACACTCCGCCGCCGTCCCTCCCGCCACTTCTCCTATCCTCTTATGCTGATTTCCGCCTCTGCTTCGTTTCTCATCCTCCTTCGTCGTCATCGCCGTCGCAGTCCTCGATAGTTCCTTTCTCTCATTCACCGCCGATGACTCCACCACGATATTCTGCCCAGTCATCGCCGTTAAACTCCGATGAATCACACACACAAAAATCGCCGGCCGATCATTACCAAATTCACACTAAAAATGCTCTTCGTAAACAAGTAGGAGAGAAATTGGTATACTTACTAAGGATTTTTTATTTGTTTTTATTTTTTTGAGATTATATGAATTTGAAATACTACTACTAATTTTATGGTGAATATAAAATATAGAATTGCTTACTGTATTTATTTGTTTATTTTATGGGCTGATATTTTTTGAAATTGGGTATTTCTTATAATTTTGAACTTGGATTATTGTAATTACTAATTAAAATATATTTTTTTAAAGTTGACTATAAATAGGAGAGCAGAGAAGAAAACAAAGAAATGATGAGTGACTTGTAATATTGTTAATAAAAAGAATAAATACATTTTTTAAAACAAAATTTAATCGGTCATTATCTTTACCTACAATATCGAGACATCAAGGTGTATTTTGACAAAACAGAGTAATAATTGAAATAGGTAAAGAAAACAAATGATAATCACACACACACATATATATATATATATAAGAACTCTAGGCCTGTCTGCGTGGCGCGACCACAAACCAGGATTTCTTTTTTAATCTATTTATTTTCAAAACTAGCATTCTCCTTTCATGAAAAATTGCGACTTTAATGAAAAATTATGACTTTTATGAAAAGTTGTAACTTCTATGAAGAGTTGTGACTTTTATGAAAAGTTATGTCTTTTTCGAAAGGTTGCAACTTTTTCGAAAAGTTGTGACATTTCCAATAAGGCACAATAAATATTTGTTCACACTACCCTTTGTTGTCTAGCTATAAATAGAGGGATTTCCTCTTATATTAAAACAACGAAAATTCTGAACTTCTTCTTCTTCTTCTGCACAATTAAATATTCATGAACAATTTTTTCCTTTCTGTTTCATCCTATTGTTATCGATTCTGATATGTTTTTTTACGGTCATTAATTTATGCTTATGTTATTAATTGATGTTTTAATTTTCGCATTTGAATGATACCAATCGAGATGGCTTTTTCAGGGACTGGCCTCTTCCCTGAGGCAATCCCTGGGATTCAAAAGAGTAGTTATTGTTATAAGTATTTGTTAGTACAAATAAAATAACACACGTTAATTGAATATTCACGCAAGTTTTCTCTACTGAAATTGTTGAAGGTACGTAAAAAAAATTCCTTAAAGATTTATACTACCATCTCTTGAAGACAAAATTCAAATTTGGTATGCCATTGTAAGGATAGAAAGACCTTAAAAGCTTTATCGCACCTTGATGTGCGAAGTGAACCAGGAAAAGAAGACAAGAATTACGGTTGATGTTCATTTGAATCCCCAAAAATATCAAGTAATATCACTTCCTGGGCAAAAAGATAAATTATAAAATCAAATTAATGATAACTGATTGAAGGATAAATGATAGATATTATAATTATCATCTTCCTTTACATTATTAATGTTTGTTACTACGTAATCTTGTATGAAAGATAATATAGTGTATTAGTTTTAATGACTCATAGGTTTTAAGTATTTTTTTATAAATTCTGTGATATTAAATTCCTGCGCGAAGCGCGAGTAATTTTACTAGTTAAGATATAAAACTCGGAAAAGCAAATAGATTAGATATGTTTTTTTGTCATTAAATCTTGTGTAATTGATGCTTTCTTGAAACCTTTAATATATATCCTTCATGATCTTTTTGCCGTCCAAATAGAGTCTAATAATAAACCTAATCATAGTTATCTTTACTAAAACAAACAAAAAATTGAAGGGTTGACCAAAAGAACCATTTTATATGACATACAATAATGGTGAAGGTTATTTGTATAGTTTGTTTATATCAAATTAATTAATACATGATATAAATCAATTTATACACTTCTATTATCAAAGTTGTTTTTTTATTAAAAACAGAAGAGGTTCAATATTTACAAGAGAATAAGTTCAAAAGTAGCCCAACTCAGAAAAAGAAAAAAGAAACAAATAATCAAAAGAAAAAAAAAAGGAAAGGTCACAAATCTTCGGACCATTTCCAATAAATCAAACCTTCGATGACTCAAGTAGCTCCATGGTCGGAGAAATTGACATCTCCGATGAAAGTGGCGGTGATAAGAGGATAGAAGATAGTTCAAACACCTCCAATAAATAAACTATTGGATTGATTGATGTAAAATATATCTTATGCAAGTAAGTACTTCATTATTTTAATTTATGTGACTTACAAAAATAATATCATATTTTATAATAAATCAAATGATATCACATAAATTAAAATGAAGAAATATTAATTATTATTAATAACTTGGAAAAGGAGTAAAGTGCATAGTACCAATTCAATGAATTTCTCCATTCTAAAATCAAACATGATACCTCTACTTAAGGGGAGGAGGATCTCATGCCATCACCATTAGCAGCCCATTAACAAAAACTACACACCAAACAAATGATGGATTATTTTCATACGGAGGAGATCAGTAATGGAGTCAGAATTTTTTTTAAAAAAAATTACACAAATATATTAGAATGTCAAACTTAGAATTTGGTGTCTAAAGTATTTTTTTTTTAACCGTCTTTTGTCTCTCTACTAAAGTCTTCCTTCTATCAAGGAAATTTGGTTTGAAATTTATAGCTAATTGATCAAAATAATTGTTTTGTCCTCTTTATGTGATGTAATTTTTTGATGAAGGAGATTCAATTGAATCTCTTGCCTCCCTATAGCTTTGCTAGTGACGGATCAAAGTGTGTTTGATATGACGAAAGTATTTGATAATTAGTGCATTTTAATATTAAAATATTAAAGTACTTGATATTTGGTGTCATTAATCTTTGTAACTTTTGTAACCACAAATTAAAGACATGTTCTCCTTATTATCTTCTACTAATTGTCTCGCTATACCTCAAATAACTATCCACATGTTCTCCTTATTATCTTCTACTAATTGTCCCGCTATACCTCAAATAACTATCCACATTCTTGTCATTTATTTGTTGAAGAAATCATACACATATTGTTGTTTTCTTCCTTGTGTTGTAATAGATAAAAAAAAATGAGAAGTGTGTTGAAGATGAAGGAAATTGATGATTGGAACATGTCAAAGGAACAGGTCCAAAGAAGCTGGCTAACGTGTTTACTGCTGTAGAGTTGGAGTCACACTAGGACTAGACTACTAAATCCTAACTTATGTACGACTAAGCTAATGTATCATGTATGGAACTAAAGTCGACTAGGATAGTGTATTTTAGTTATAGTAGTAATACTACTCATATAAATAATACAGTTGTACTGAAGTAGGACTCCTAGTGTAGCTAGTATAGGACTCTTTTCCTAAGGAGTATGTACTCAACAACTTCAATCATCAATACACCCCTTGATTCTCTATACTTTATGTGAGATTTCTACAAAGTGCATTAGAAATATTATATTGTGTTTATATTTTGAGAATTGTATAGTGAAAGAGAGAGTTGAAACAAAAAAAGTTGTTCAAAGTCTTCAACTTATTCATGATATAAAAAAGAGTAATTAATTTTATATTGAAGGAAGGTGTTCTTTTGGTAGAATTTTAGACTTTTCAACTAATCCAAAGTTGTTTGAGTTATATGATAATGATGTTGGAATATATTCTGGAGGGGACAAGTCGAGAGCTATAGTGCTAATTAGTGTAGATTATACCACATTGAGCTTGAATATCCTTAAAAATTTGAGATTTAAACGTCTTAGTCTGAATATTTTTATTTATTTTATCTTCAATTATAATTTGTGATATATTCACCAACATTTTAACATTTTTGTCCGAAGGCTTAGGATTATTTATAAAAAGAAACTTAGATGCTTCAACTAGAGCACCATAATTGAACCTATCTATATTTTACCTCAAATATTTTATAACTTTGATTTAAATAAATTTACTCTTTGTATTAACAAATAATGTTTCTACAACAATATCTAAGGTAATATATTACAAACACATGACTACCAATTTTTTAACTAGAATCCATTTTTAATTTTATAAATAATAATATTACTATCTGAGATTAATTAAAAAAATTATATTATTTAAGAATGTCATCTCAAATACATCTTACAGGTAACTTCTTATCATTATCAAAATCAATGTCAAAGAAAACAACATGTTTGTGGTTTGAATGAGGTTTGAGAGAGAAGAAAAAATAATGTTGTAAGAACAAATTATCCCATACTTATTGACGTTTTAGAGATAAAAATAATATTATAAAAATAAAAGTAGTCTGGATATATTTTATGCTGCTAGTTGAGTTTTTACTGACTGCAGCTAGTTGTCTGTTGCTAGTTGAGCTTTTACTGATGACAGCTAGTTGATCTTTTGAGATTTTTTTGCGGACAATAAGTGAATGAGTTTTTACTAACTGCAGTTAGTTGTTTGTTGCTAGTTGAGCTTTTACTAACGGCAGATAGTTGATCTTTTGAGATCTAGTTGTTTGTTGCTAGTTGAGGTTTTACTGACGGCAGATAGTTGATCTTTTGAGACTTTTTTGCGGACAATAAGTGAATGTGTGTACTTAAACTTTAATAAAATTGAGTTTTAATACATACATCTTTCTGATATATCTTTTCTACTCTCTATCAATTTTTATTGACTTCCATTTATATTACTCATTATTATGATAGTTTCATTTGTACATATTATTTTCTCAAACATGACAGTCGGCTGTCTACGAAATCATTTACCATTTAATTTTTGTTCGATTGTTAAAAGAGTAAAAATTAAAAATTAATCCATTGAAAGGGGTAAAAATCAACTATTTTTATTTGAAGGACCAATGACTTGCACCTTTAAACTTCAAAGAAAACTGCCATAATTGCATTTCATTATAGCCATTTTGTAGGCAAACAAACATCAAGAATCTCATAGTCAAAAACTACCTAGAGCACAAAAATTTCAAGTCACCAGATACAACTTGAACACTGTCTCACAGATTTTTATTGCCAATAACAAAACGTTTGTGTTTGGCGCTATAACAAGCAAATCCAGATTTTTGTTTCTTCAAATCTCGTACCGGAAGCGAAAATTAAGACTGTCCTTCAACTTTGTTCTGCCACCATTCCATGAACTTAACCTGTGAAGCCATTGTATCCATCCTGTATAGCTGCAGCCAGTGGTTGGCAACTTCCTGTCCAAATGTCCAGCCAAAGACGGCTCCAGCTCCAAGGGACAATGCAGTACCTATGAAATGCAATGACATTAAACAACCAAATCAACCACCTTAATGTTAAAGGCTTCTGCCAAATTCTTGGTTCTTAGGAAAAGATTAACTTGCTATGCTCCTTTCTCTCGTTGCCATTCACAAATTATATTCGGGAAAATAATTCAACAGACATTTTCATGCATGGTTGATTGGGAAGCCACTCTACCTCTGAGGTAGGGGTAAGGACTGCAAACACTCTACCCTCCCAGACCTCACTTTGTGACTACACTAGGTATGTTGTAGTTGGTTAATTGGGAAGCCATTGAATCAAGCAAAGATGGCACTCAGTGAAATTGATCAAAATACAACATTTGAAATCCTAATGAATGAACTAGTAAACAGTCAAATTCTGATCATGAGGTATAAATGTATATACATAAACAATAAGGGGCGTCAAATCTTCACGAGTCTGAATCATCCGATCATGGACATAGACGAGAGGAAACCAATTAATAAAGCAAGAGTGGATGCAACATTATAAGAACTTATCCCCAAAGCTTCAGGCTCTCAGTTGTAGTAGCATTCTCGCGGTGTAAACTGGAAAAACACATGAGTACCTTTCTTTCATGGGGAGGGGAGGATGGAGGGAGGGGAGTCGTTGTCAAAAACCTAACATACCATGCAGACTCCTTGAGTACTTCCATGTAACTCCTGCAGTTGAAACAGCTCCAAGTAGGCCTCCTACAGCACCAAACTTTGCTGCTTCCCTAGCAGTCTTCAGCTGGAAAGAATAGTATTAAAAAGCTCATCAGCTCCACTTACGAAAAGGAAAAAATAGAGGAACATAATGGTTACTGGGGATACTGAAAGGAAACAGCATCAGCAGGGCTCTAGGGACAGATAAAAAAAGAAGGAAAATAAAGCACATGTGCAACTTCTTAGCGTTAAGAAAGCAATATCATGAGTAAAATTAGGCATGTCCTTGTGTGCACTCAGGCAAATAGACAATCCAAGAGAAAAACAAGTAGATGCTCTCATTATGCCCAAATAAGTGATAGAGACCAGACTAGTTAAGTAATCTTTCTAGAATTTAGCAAACCAAATAGATGGTAAAAACGAAGACATTGCACCATTAACTCCAAACATAAATTTTGGAGTGAAAGGAACAAGATGAAGGAGTAAGCGTCTGTCGTAGATTAATAAATGTCATTCTTTTCGTACAGGACGGGGTAGGATACACAAATATGAGGGAATCCTCATACATACAGTGTCAGCTATCAAGAAACATTCTTTCTTTTATTTATTTATTTTGATAGAGCAAAAGAAATGTCTTTCTAAGAAACGGTAATTGCCCCGCTATATCATATTCTATCTCCTCTCCTTGTCATCTGTACTTGGAACAAGTGCAGTGAGACAAAGGATAGAAATTTTTGCTTGCCTGATTATAAAAAGAAAGAGAAATTGAATAAGAATCATTAACTAAAAAATCATTCAACTATTAAAGAGAGAGAATTCTATCACTCTTTCCTGCATTCTTCTGAATGACACAAAAGAAAGGAAATATCTCTCATTACTTCCATGTCGCTCAATCCCTCTTCCATGTTGCCTTCCACATTTCCTTTTTCCCCTCGCAAGGAAAAGCCTTTTCCAATTAGGAAAGATAAGGTCTTAATAAAGCATAAAGCCATTTTTTAATAAAGTGAATAAAGCATGTAGCCATTCTCACTGCAGCCATTTTATTTATTACGCTCGGGATCGATATGTGAAGCACAACCCCAAAATATGCTAATAGTTTATACAGTGCCTTCATATATTACAAGGTTTCTCCAACAATTAACTCCCAACAAACTCTTTCTCCTTGATTAAAAAGAATTCCCTAAAATTTCAGGCTATTGAAGAGTCAGCTTTAAAGATCACAAAACACAGAAATCAAGAGCCAAAAGGTACAAAACCAACAAATGTCTTAAACATATGGCTAGCTTAGATCCCCCAAGAAATATGAAGGATTAAAATTGACCACCAAGGCATGGTACAGGCAATAAAAGTAATCCTAAACTAGCAGGTAACCAGAACAAAAGAAAGCAAAGTTTACATAGTAAATTTGGCAGAAAATGCAAATGCAACAGAGCCAAGTTAATCATCACAAGAACAGTCATGATGCAGTTACTTAATCATAGGAAACATGCACTTCGAAGATTCAAGAAATACGTACTAAGTTCAAACTTGAACAGAATGGATAAATCGCAATTCGAATGAAAAGAAATGCTTTTGTTACTCAAGCAATTAAAGGAAGTCTAATTAAACACCAAAGACCCCAACGTTACCAAAATCAAACAAGCAGCCAATAGTAATGGAGGCACTCTATGCATAACAACATCCTAAAGCAAGTTCTCCTCGTCAAACGATATTACAGCCCTAAGTTTCTGTACTAAAATTTTGCTATGCAACAAAAGAGCTCAAAGGGACAATGACTACAGAACTCCATTTTCTCCAAAACTTACCCGCCCCAAGAAAAAGATGTTAAAACAACAGCAAACAGACATAGACAGAGAATGATATTGCCATATACCCAAGAAACGAGCACAACGCATTGACTCAATCCAAAATCAAAGAGCATCTACCAATCTAAAAGCTAAAAGGGCATAACAACAGAAACAAATGGATCAAAAAAATAGCTAAATCAATGAAAACACAGGTACGGAAAACCCCAAATAACTGTAAATGCACATAAAATTTAGAAAAAAACAAAGAACAATCGGAAATGAAAGAACTTCCTGGACTAAAACAATGAACTCCTCAACATCAGCTTCAACACACATACAGAGAAAAACTCAAAAAAGGTATACAAACAGAAAAGAATAGCTAAATCAATGAAAATCCAGACAGGGGAAACACCCAAATAACTGTAGATGCACATACAATATATTTAGCAAAAAGATAGAACAAATCAGAAATGAAAGCATACAATTGGTCCATGAACTGGGTCAGAAAGCAATAAACTCCTCGACATCAAATCAAAATCAACACACAAAGCTAAAAGGGCATAAAGATATAAACGTATAGATCAAAACAACAGCAAAATCAATGAAAACCCAGATAGGAAAACACCCAAATAACTGTAAATGCACATAAAAAAACATACAGATCAAAACAATAGCCAAATCAATGAAAACCCAGATAGGGAAAACACCCAATAACGTAAAAATTTAGAAAAAAATATATCTTTATCCCAAATTGGAAATGAATGCATACTGTTGGTCCATGAACTGGCTCAGAAGCAATGAACTCCTCCACATCAGCTTCAGACCACGACGGTAATGGCTTATCGCGTTTGATGAACCTTGAATAGTTTTCCAAGAAGGAGAATCTCTCACCCCAAAACTCCTTGTATCCTTCCCAGTGTCTCCTTAAGAAAGACTTGGATACAGAGTCTTCTTCAGCCATGGCTTTAGTTGTTCTTTTGGCCTAATTGTTAAATTCTCTCTTTATAAGTGTTCATAAGGTGTTTTTTTTTAAGTGTCCGATAATCCACATTAAAGCCTGATTAAATTTAAATTTGCGTTGAAAAGTCTTACATTGATAATTCATCATAAGTTATTTTTATTAAATCTACTTTTTTTGGTATATAAATAAAAATTATAGTGCAAGTACACAATCAACAAGTATAAAGAGATTAATATATTATTCACGTGAGGAGTTAATTAAAAGGATTGTAGTTCGCTCTTTAAAGTTTATGCGATATTATTTTGGATGAATTTGGAGTTAACGGAAATGACAGTGTTAATAGATGGTAGTTATAGTTCGTCCATAAATGAGCGAACTGTCCATTTTAATATGTGTTTTTAGAGAGGGCCCCTTTTGGTGTTTAGGATTTAAAAGGTGTTTGTTTTGGTGCCGGACTCTTAACATGAATCGTGACATTATTTATTTTCTTTGAATCATGACATCTTGATTAAGTTGATTGTAAATTATCTGTTTGAACTACTTGTGAGTTACTTGTAAGATGTATATTTGAGTTTGTGAATATATTTTTAGGAATTAAAACTCGTTAAGAAATGTTATAACGATATACTTAAATCATGTTCTCTTTTATAGTGCAAATTTCATCTCTAATTTGTTTACACTTCTTTAGATGCCTACATAACTTACAACAAATTTTAGGTACGCCATTTATTTTAGATAGATGCTACAAACAACTCCAAGTAAAATGAGTCTTTTTCAAAAGAGAGGTAATTGATGTTATAGCGATATACATAAATCGTGTTTCATTTTTCATCTCTGATTTGTCCACACATCTTTAAATAACGACTTAGCTTACAACAAGTTCTGTGTACGCCACTATCAAACCTTTATTTAAAATAAATGCTACAAACAACTCTCAAGTAAAATGAGTCTTTTCCAAAAGCAAAAGCTCAAGAGTTCATTCTAGTTGATAAACTGAAATGAAAGACATCAGAACACTTCCCATCCAAAGCTTCCCATCCCTCTCCTCTACCTCGCTGACAGCTCTAACGACTTTCCCTTGTCGATCTTCCAATATCTGCAACAGTTTGCCCTCGGAGCTGTACCTCACAACAACTGCAGTGAACCTGCCACCAATGTGGATGAGGTATTGGAGCTTTGCAGAGATAGGAAGCTTCAGCAAGAATTGACGGAGTTGAGGGTATATGGCGTTTATGTAACTGTAAATGGTACGACGACAGTGGATTGCTACCCAAAACTCGTTTCTTTCGTTTGCTCTTACGTTGTCTGGATATCCTGGGAGGATTGCTATTACCTCTGATGTCCCGGCTTTCTCACCTTTCAGCCAGTACTTTCGTAACCTACAACAAAGTAAAATATTTCATTTTTCAATAATACTAAGAAATAATATCATAGGAACTATCTAATTGAATGTACACTTTAACGATTTTAAGGCAATTCAACATAAAGGAGATGCTTTACAACAACAACATAACCAGTGTAATTCCACAAGTAGAGTCTGGGGAGGATTGAGATTAAGTATACACACACCCTACCCCTATCTTGGGAGGTAGAGAGGTAGTATCCGATAGACCCTCAGGGCTCAAGGAAAGGCATTTCAAAGCAGTGAGGAATAAAGGAGATGTTTTAAGAAAAGAAAATAGAGAAATGAATGCAGATATCTCAGAACATGTATTATAAAAGCTGAAAGTAGTCCGTAATAATTCTACGTCTATCATTGTTCCATACTGTGCATAGTATTTGTGTCTGTATCTCCGATGCAGATTGTAATGCTCATGCACATATATAGGCAATAGTAACAATGCATAAACCAGGGTTGAATTTCAAGTTATTGTAGCCACTTTTTGCATTATCAATACAATTTCGTACCACGCACCTTACCCCTACCTTGAGAGGTAGAGAGGTTGTTTCCGATAGACACTCGACTCAAGGAAAGGCATATCAAAGCAGAGTGGTAAATAACTGGATCATAATACTATAAACATCCTGATAGCTAAAGGCAAGAAAGTCACCTGCCCTTGGAACCTTCGCAAAATATAAAGAAGGAACCATCCTTGCTTAGTGATAGACCATTTGGGAATTGAAGGTTGCGAATAAGAACAGTGGTTTCTTTCGTCCTAGGATTGTATTTGAGAACCTTCCCACTATCTTCTGCTGAGAAAACCAGCTGTACAAAATTCCTGTAAAGGAAACGGTGTGAGTTGTACAATTTTAACCGAATGAAGCACAACAAATTCTGTATTGAAGATGATCTAGTAAAAATTGCAATAAACTTTTAAGATTACACAGAATTTTGGAGCGTAAATGCAGACAATTCAGATATCATACCAAATGACCCCCAAGTGTTGACGCAAACTTAGCTAAGAACAAAATATAATGATAAACAAAGAATCCATAAAGATGTAACAACTATTGGAGATTAAGGCTTAGTCATTGTTAGGCTTACATTAGAATTGGTTTTTTTAGAGTCTCTTAACTTTAGGAAACCGCTATTTTCCCTTAAAAAAATAAGATTATTAGTACTGGAATGAAATGAACTCGAATAAAGCAGAATATATACATCTGTGTTTGTAGAAAATCCATATAGTCAACCTAATTAGTTTAGGATTAAGGTTTTGTTGATTGATAAGAAGTATTTCTTCTGTCGTCCATTTTTTGGCACTAATAAGAACGTAACACCAAGACTTAAAGGTAAGTTTTATGAAGTGGTTATTAGACCAACTATGTCGTAACTCGTACGGGGTTGAGTGTTGGCCATTCAAGAACTCACACGTCCAGCAAATGAAAGTAGCGGAAATGACATGCTTAGATGGATTGTGGGCCTACTAGGAGAGACAAAATTAGGAAGGAGGATACATGGGCAAGGTGGGTATGGGCTATGGCCTTAGTGGTGACAAGATGCAGGAAGCAAGGCTGAGATGGTTTCGGGCAAGTAACGAGAGGATCACAGACGCCCCGGTGAAGAGGTGCGAAAGGATGGCAGTGATAGGCCTAAGGAGAAGTAGAGGTAGACCGAGGAAGAATTGGGAGATGTGGTTAGACAAGACAACACAACTTCAATTCACCGAGGACATGACCTAGACAGGAGAGCATGGAGGTTGAATCACTATGCTAATAGAAAAGAAATTGTTCAGGGTCAAATTATGGTATGTAACTATAGTCTACAAGTACACCAGTTTAACAAAACTCATTTTCCAGATCACATCATAATCGAATCGCACTCTTGAATTTATGCCAATCAACATGTTAAGAAATCTAGAGCACTAAAAGAAATGGCACATTCATGATCTACCTGCGTTGGTACTTTGTGCTGCTATCCGTAAAATAAACATTCCCTTCATCATCAACATCCAAGTCATTTGCAAATCCTATAGGTATCCCCTCAGCCTCAGTTGTCAAAGATTCTGCTAATCCACCTTCAGGGCCTACCTTCATTAACCCCAAATATGCATCTGCAATATATAAGTCACCTGTTCTTTTGTCAAACCGTAACCCCAAAGGCCTACCACAGATGTGCTCGTTCTTCATATAGCTCAACGGCGATGGTTTTGGATCACACAAGCCTGACCTGAAAATTCAGAAAACAGAAAGCAAGCAGGACGTTATCATCTTCAACCTTTTAACATTCTTATTGATAATGATACTCCACAAGACCACAACAGTCCTAAAGGACTTAACAATAAAGAAGGAAACATGTTTATGTGACAGTGTCGCTTTTCTTCCTAAAGCAGAACACTGAATTTTAGTAGCGTGAAGACAATTGTTGAAATGTGATCCTAGCTTGTACCTTCTTTAACCCCGTGATCAACAATGCATAAGAACCGACGTCATGGTCCACATTGAACTGTTTAAGTCTATTAATCAGGTAGGAATAGGTATGAACATTAACCAGTAATGCAATTTCCCGAAGGTGATGATTGAATTCTACACTGGTCAGACAGGTTTAAGCAATTGAGCCACATGATTAGAGCTAACATAGTATTGCTGCCACGATTAGCACGTGTTTCCAACTGTTCTAGTAGCCCATCAATCTTGAATCATAACATTTAATATTAGAGATGCCTTAATAACATTTAGCATTATAACAACATTGAATCGCGCGCTAAGAGCGTTGAAGAGCTCAACATATTTTGCACCTCACTTCAGGGCTTAAGCCACCTTTGACTACACCTCTTGTTTTTTCTTTCACAAGATCATTATAATGAGAACACAACACAACCAAATAGGGAAGTCCGGTGCACTAAAGCTCCCGCTATGTGCAGGGTTCAGGGAAGGGCCAAACCATAAGGGTCTATTGTAGGCAGTCTTACACTACATTTCTGCAAGAGGATATTTCTACGGCTTGTAAACATAATAATAAAGGCATAATCACAACAAACAAGAAATTTGAACCAAGAACCATAACCTAAGAGGGAAAGGGAAAAAAAAAAGTCACCTATTAGCTGAGGTATAAGCAAAATCATTCCATTTTTCACCATCCCAAAACACAACTCTTCCATCAGCTATCCCTGTATAAGGTCCTCTACCCTGAGGATCAAAAACAATACTTTCTGGCCCCTGAATTTGATCCAAGAACTTAATTTCAGATTTCTGAAGCAAATTTTGTGAATCTTTTTCAACTGGGATTTCAGACCAAGCTGGCATCTCAACCTTAAAAGACTCAAAATTTGGGAACTCAGAAATTGCACTATGCTTAAAAGGGTCCAACCCACAATACACTGCCAACACAAGGAACACACCACCAAATACTGAAGCAGCTCTCATTTTCTTGATAAAAATTGAAACTTTATGATAATGGGGTTTGAGTATAGGGAAAATCTTGAAATGGGGTTGAAAATTTTGGAAATATAGTATACCTCCAAAGAAGAATTGTGAAAGAATGTTGGCTATCTAACAAGGTACAATGAAAAATTTGCTTGAAATATAATAGGGTGGTGTACTATTAGCTGAGCTAACTACCCACTCCTCAACTGCCAGCTTGCCACTCTCCTAAAATT